TATAAACATAAATGTTCTACGAAAGATCTTATCAAGCGTTATATCTTATAATAAAGTAGGTAACTTTTCGCAGCAATATACTATTTTTCTGGAGTCATCATTTTCTTCATGGGGAATAAATACATTGTTACTGAACTAGTGCTGTTACTAGTGTTCTACTCACTATCGGGTATTAGGTCATTAAATAAAACATACTGAAGTACTACTGACCACATAGTTCAAGAAAATTAGCAATAATCAAAAAAGATAATTGTAAAATTTGCAAATATCCGTAGCGCCAATATTTTACAGGTAATAGTGGTAAGTTAAGTATCAAAGTTTAAATAACAGCAGCAAGAATTTCTTCCAGATAACATAAACATGGGTTCGTTTTGAGATAGCAATATTTTTGAACAAAAAAACCGACTTCAAACAGGAAACTAATAAAACATTGTCAACGCCTTTAACATTTGAGGATTGCCCTCGATTTCTCAGGGATGCCATCATCAGATCTGGGTTTCCTTATCTTGGTACCACCCTTGGGATATCTCCTTTCCCACAAAAAAAGACTCATCAAAATTGGTTTCAAAAATGAGGACGCTATCCCCGAACACACATAAAAAAATCGTCGAATCGAGAAACCTCCTTCTTTTTTTGAAGTCGGTTAAAATTCCATTGTGCGTCATGATCTTGTTAGTTTGCCAACAAATGCAGAGTTTCGTGGCTAGGTGATGATATTATTAAATATGATCCAATCATTATATCGGTTTACTTTAAATAGAACGTATATTTTAAACGTATGTTTTGGAACAGAAAAAATTAGAAACATATGTCCTAAGTACACTCTTTTCAAATATGCAATTAAGAATACATCTTTTCAAACAATAAATCGCAGTTCAAAGAATACATCTTTTCATCTTTCCAGAGGACATTTGGGCATATCCCAAAGAATAAGAAAATATTAACATGCAGTAGGAGTTTTCATCACTGGTATTGTTATTGATATTCCGAATATACCACTTGTACAAAACATCACTAATGAAAGAAAACAATAATTAGAATATAATTTTAAAAACTAAAAAACCCGACCGCGTTTCTGTGTGATTTTTTACATTGATATACCATTCATGTCATTCTCACAATTAATAAATACGAATTTAACGACACCTCTCAAACTAAAATCCATCAAGCCGTTCAGGCTGCAGAGTGTGCCAAACAATTATACATACATACATAAATACTCTTCAAAAACATAGCCCTCCTTCTGGCATAGTCGGGTAAAAATAACAGTAGTGTTTTCTTTTCTGAACAATAATGTTTTATTAGGGCCACGCAGCAGACTTTGGTGATCTGATTCTGACGATGATGACCACACAGAAGACCGGCGTAAAGTGAAAGTACTTTTGTATTACATCTGGTGAGCGAGGTAACCGGACCCAATTTTTTAAAAGGTTACTTTTTACTGCTGGTAGCTATCACTTTATATCATGTGAACCACTAGCTTGCCATCTAGTCACATAATAACGCAGCACTTTTTCTACATATTTTAATGTTCAATCTTAAGTGCAAAGATTAGCACTATAAACAATTTAAATTTCTAAAAAAAATAACGCAGTAGTGTTCGCTGTTGCATGAATGGGCAGGTCCGTCCGGGTAAGTACCACGACCTCACAGAAGACCGGCGTAAAGTAGAAGTGTTACACTTCTGCGTTTCGTCTGGTTAATGAGGTAGCCGGGGCCCACTTTATTAAAAGATAGCCTACGGGTGTTGCATGATGTCCTTAGGCGCTTTATTAATTATCGCTTAACATCAGGTGAACCGCCAGCTCACATGAAAAATATATTTCAAATTATAGTATAAAATTAATAAAAGCATAGTTTGTTTAATTATTTAACCATATGACATTTTCGTAGACTACTAATTCTACTTTAAAGGGTTTATAGACATGTAAAGGTTTCCCGTAAGCCCCGTGATCGTATATTCTGCAATACCCAGAACCATTTTAATTTTGAATGGTCCATAAATATTTAACAGTTCACCACCCTTTAACAGACGCCGGCAGAATGGATAAGATAATAGCTTTTAGTGTAAAGTTAGGTGAAATGTTGTGTTAACGTTTTTACATTAAGACAATATGCCTTTAAATTTTGTAAATAGAAACATTTTACACATTTAACGGCATTTAATTTAATTTTAACTTTTTGATCCAGGCCACAAAAAAGAAAAGTGAATACGACAACACTTAATATTAAAAGTAGTCACTGCTAACGTCTGTTGTATCCGTTATTTAAATATACAGACGATACATAGTTAAATATGTCCAAATTTGTGTTGTGTTTATGCATTAACATGAATTAGTATTATTTCATTAACCTGTATTAGCCCAGGTTTCTTTCATCTTACTTATCATGAATATGTTTTTTGGTATGTTCACTAAAGCCTTAAAAGAATATTGGAGGATATTTATGTTACCTACTATCACTTGCTGTTACAACTTACACTTTAAAGTTTTTAATTCAAGCTAGGTAGGCGCTTGGTATTACATGTAAAATAACTTTTTTTTAATTACTATGTAAATAGAAATTACATTGAACTAAAATGTGCATTAATGTGTCGCTGTTAGATTACAATTGGAGAACCATTCATATGATTTGTGACCTGTATCATGCATTGTTGCTTCAAGAAGTGTGTTCAATAATTGGCCAATTTTAATACCAGGACGAACTATGACGATTGCAATACCACATCGATGAAACCCGTCACCACAACCACTTAAAGCCGATAAATCGATAACAATATTTACAATGACAAATTAAATGACTCTAGCTACAACAATAGAAAAACCGATGGAGCGGTCCGTCATATATTACTCACATTAAATATCTTACGAATCACCATCGAACAATTAACAATGGAAGGTTAATTTAATTCACTTAAAAGTCGTATTGACTTTTACCTTTAATTTACCAATCATCACTTACCAGCTACACGACAAGCTCTTGACTTCGCAAAGGGTTAAAAAATTACCGCTGGCCAATAATAAATCGATCGCTTCGAGAAATCTTTAGACCCGCTAAAATTTACTCACGTAAATTTTAGTGGATTTGAAGACGCCTCATAAAACTTTAAGACTATCTGTAAATAAAAAAAAGAAGCTTTTGGACACCAAAGATCGATTGGCAAAGTTTCAATTAACAAATTTTTGTTTTAATCTGCCTTGACCAAGTTTGGCGGAGAAGGATTTTGTCTCACACATACTCGACAATTGATTAATTAAGCGAATACTGGTTTCATACAATGTTATAATAATAAAAAATGTATATCGAAACGACTTTAAATCTCAACTTCAAAAACCGAAATATTTAATATAATCGCATAAAATTTATCTACAATTAGAATAGTTAGAGACACCAATCAACGAAGTTAAATTTCACTTACAATCTATACAAGTTTTTTTTTTTAATTAAACCTATCATTTGGCGATACGTTAAGTGATATTATTAATCTCAAAATGGCGTAAAAGTATAAGGCACGGTTCGAATACTTGACTAATTTTTTTTTTCACACTTAACATTTATGAAGGACGTACGACACAGCTAAGATGATTCTAACTAATGGCTTTCACTAAATAATCCACCAAATGCTTTGGCACCTTTAGTAAAAAAAAAAATAAAAAAAAAAAAAAAACGAATAGAATAAAATCTGTTCAGAATTGATATGTCCTCAATAAGCCCCGTTCGAAACGAAAAAGGCGAAAAAATGAAACGAAAAACCATTTATTTCTTTATTATAGTTTTTTATTCAAATTTGATCGAATGTAACAGTAAATATGATCCATCTGTAAATATAAAGTCGTATGCCGTCATTGGATGGATTCCTTTTAATTTCAGAGAAAAAATTAATTTGTTTTAATTTTTCAATATTTTTTTTTAATTTTGTTCTCGTTTCTTTATTCATGTTTTTATCAATTCTTTAATTTCAAGTCGTTCAGTCTGTCTGTTTATACAATTTCTTGTTTAGCAGCTGTTACAAAAATATATACGTAAAGATGAAAAGAAAACAAAATAAAATATTAAAAATAATCATGTTGCTTAAGAGTAAAATAAAATTAATAAAAAAAAACTTTGGTATTTGTGTTATTAAAACCGATTAAATTTTGGGAGTAGAAAAGCTATTAATGTAATAGAAAAATTACAATTATACATAAGTTTATTTACAAAGAAGGTAAGCAGGGAGATAAATTATGTTTAATCAAAATAAGAAATCTTATTATTATTGTCAGTTCGCGATTCGAGTATTATTTTTCGTTCATTTTTATTTACATCAATATAAATGTAGCGGAAATTATTCAAACATGTCGATTCACAGGATTTAATAGACAGAGCTCTTATTAACAAAGGGTCAAACCCCATTCAACTCTCAAGCCGTTAAAGTTCAAACTCATTTGAACCGAACGATGCAACAAAAATACCTTCATTCTCTTTCTTTTTCAAATTACAACGTGCCAAAAGAATTGGCGTTACATTAAAATCATGAAAACATAGTATAAATCATTCTTAGAAATTATTAAAAATTGTCTTTTTCCATTCTTCGTCTTAACCTGAATTCCTTTGATTACATATCAAAATTGACACAATCCGTTAAAATTACAACAAATCATCAATAAAGGTTTGTTCGTTGAACAAAGTCTTGTAAACATTTTAGATAACAATAAACCCGTCAACGCCTCGCGAACAACTCGAAACGGGTGCTGGCGGAGGGTTGGAAGGGGAGGAATAGGTAAATTTCAAAATCCCCTCTCCCCATAGAATTTCATAAAAGACAAATACATCCGTAACAATATAACTATAGCGATGAGCACTTAAAGGACACTTAACTAAACGAGGAGATCCGTAACGGGAATAGTCTGGGACATCGCGGAACGTCCGAACGTCCACTAAGCGTCCACCGCGGGGGGGTCCCCCGTCACAACTAACGAAATTTCAAAACTATCTAAGTCCACATAGTTCGCACTCGCTCACACCACGTGCGTCTCGCTCTGGCCGAAGCCCTCGTCGATGGTGACGCTCTGCTTTTTCGGCTCCTTCCTGATGGTGCCGTACTGGGGAGCTTCGCCCAGGTTCTGAACGGTCAGTATCTGGCTGCCGGCACCGTATTTGTGCCGCGAGGGGTCCTTCAGGATTGACTGCGGCTGCCGCGCCGGCGGCGGCATCGGGCTGTGCTATTAGGCATTGAATTGTAATGTCAAAATCATTTCGTAAAACGATCTCATAGTAATCTATACAGGGTGATTTTTTAGACGAAGTACATACTTTGACATAATATTAATTGAGCATTTCATAATTCAAAATAATATTAATATTTTGTTTGACAAGAAATAACTAGAAAAATATCAATTCAAAGATTGTTTGTTTATCCAGTTAAGAGTGGTCACCTGATGTTAAGTGAATACCGCCGCCCATAGACATCTGCTACACCAGAGGGTTTGCAAATGCGTTGACAACCTTTTTGGAAATTGCGGCTACCTCACTCACCAGACGAAACGTTTTTGTCAGTAGAGTGGTATCCATCCAGTTAAGAGCGGTCACCCTATTGATAAGCGGTTTAGTAATTATGCGCTCAACGAAAAGTTTTAGTGCTCGTCAATAGGTGTATTGTATTGAGACGGTAAGGCAAGAATTTCTTAAGGTGTCCATAATAATTGAAAAAAAATTAACAATAATCTTTGAAAAAAAATTGCGGTCACAATTACGTAGCAGATTCAGATTTAGAATCAAATTCTGCATATGCTCTGTTAATATGTTCGTCGTCTATATATATAAAATCACCCTGTTTATTGATACGTAGAACGAAACTTCGGATCCATTGTTTAGAATTTTGCGAGCACAAGGAGAGTAGGGCCACGCAGGCAGTTCAAGATTCCAGAAAGCGTATCCGTCTCCCTTAAAATTTACTGAACTACGGTCGAGCATCAACTGACTATTAGCGGTTCACGTGTATAAATATATATGAACATTCAACTTAAACTACATTAAATTGATTACATTTGTTTTTCTTTTTTCACTTAAAACTTTCAAGTTTATATAAAAGTGATGGTAGCGATAATATTAGATTAAGATTTTACAAAGTTTGTAATAGAAAACTAGTAAGTTTGATATATAATATAAGTTTAACAAGGAATAAATTTTCATGCTTTTAAAGATGGACATGTTTTACTATCCATTAAGATCTAATATAAATTAAAATGTATTCAACTTCACTCAATCAGGTGTTAAGCAAAGATTAATTATTGTTAATAATTTATATTCAGATGAATAGTGTAAACTATTCACTAATATTTTTAACACAAAGAAGACTAAACAAAACTTGAAGTCATAATACACCAAAGCTTCAAGCTATTTATCACGCTGTTACTGTTAACAAAATAATATTAGATTGACATAAAAACAAAGCTGAAGTTCTTGGTTAAAAATTAAGGTTAGTGAAGAAGGAGGTAAATACATACCTGATTGCAGTTGCCTTGGTGTAACACCGTGACGTCAGGTGGCGGCACGGCCATTTTGTCTAATCGCTGCCGCCGTAGTGTGCCACCCGCCGACTGTCGGTCTAGACCTGCCATTTAGTGGTTAAATTGATCCTTGAGCCTATACGATATTTTAATGGCTTCTCAACAATGAAATACATAAGCAGTTAAAGTCACTATTTTTGTACTTGATGAATACGAATTTAAGCGTGTAGTACTTTTCATTATTCAGTTTGAGATTTCTTTAAATAAAAATAAACTTTGACCTTATGATAGACTAGGCTCATTTTGTTTGATGATTTTAATACTGTCAATGTACGGATAAAATTATTAAGCGACGAATGATCATATAAGCGAGTTTATGGTGACTATAATTGTTGACGAGTACACCGGAGGAGAATAACCTTCGATACTTTCAATAATGGTTAAGGTTATAAAGATGTGCGAGGTCGTTGACCGATGACAACATGGTGTTATCGCAAATGGTAGAAATGGGGGTAGCCATAGTGATGTATATAAATTTATTGGTAATGCAGAATTATTTGCATTCAAACATTCGATTTGGGAAGTGAAAATAATAGTTATAATTGGTTTTTTTTTGTTCATCATACGTTAAGAAAATTTTTTATATCTATTTTAGAAGACGGAAACGTAGATAAAATTAGTAGATTCTATTCTCGTCAATCTTACCGTCCAATCCGTAGCTGAGGGGCGGACTGGTCATGTGTGATGGTGACCCACCCGGGACTCCCCCGTTTACCAAATGCGGTTTAGGCAGCGGTTGTGCCCCGTATTGTTGCGGCGGCGTAGGTGTTCTGCCAGATTGCTACAATGGAACAGAAAGTTTTCACACTCAGAAAGCAAACAAACACGACACCGGTAATAAATTACCAGTAATATTCGGTGCCGAGTATCGTCGGCTCGATTCCTAATAATATCGACAAATCTTTTTGTGAACAGATAATTGATCCCGATCTAGGTATTTGTGCTCAAGGAGGGTTGATGTAAGACTTGCGCTCGGTCATAAAAAATCTAGCCAATAACAATATGATGCACATTTTGTGCCGATTCCACCTAGGTGGGATAAAGGCAGGAGAAAGTAGTAGATGGTAAATATCATTTGAGACGTCCATCTGCTTATTCTTGGATATTCAGGTATTGTAAAAGAACTTATATAAGAAAAATTCTGCTATATATCAAATCTGTATACTTTTAAGGATTCGTATTTCGTAAGTTGTTGTGATATGTATAAGCTACGATGGGGTTGGCGTATCTTTATAGATAAAAACCCCATAAAAATAAAGATAATAAAAAAAATATCAGTTCAATGAAATTTGTTCACATAATAATTAATTGTGTGTTTTGTCTTGTTAGTCAAAAAACTTATTGTTGTTTTATTAAGTAAAAAAGCAGACTTGTGAACCACGTGTTTTATTGAGAGTTTTCCGTAACTGTCTTACAACAAGGTACAATATAAAAAAAAGAAAGAGGAAGTTAGTGTTGCTACTTATTACTAGTGTTGTGCCAATCGACAAAGAGGGGCACGGTTTATTATTATGACACTTATGAACAATACTGTTTAAATTACGATTTTGTGTATAATTTAAGTTGATATTACGACCGAATAACATATTTTAGAATTCAGAATTACATAAAAAGATATATGTAACATATTACATCAATTGAAACTATTTTACGGATTATATCCCTTTCTCACAACTTTTCGAATACGTTATATTCATGGTTAGGGAACATCTAGTTACGACGTAAAGTAGTTTTATTTAATATCGAGTATAGGTCCACAAGTTATGACTACGTTACCTGTTGTAAATATTCGCCAATAAGTGGTGGGTAGGATAAGTATCTGTCAGATGCCATGTTGTAGTAAGAGCCATCCAGGGGTGGCATTGGACTCGGTGCCGCCACGTAGTTCTGTTTGCCTGTTTTTGGAGATAAGTAAATTATTTGCCTATGTAAGAAAGAGAGTAGGAGAGAAAGAAGAAAGAAACGACTCGAGCAAGAAATGAAGAAATTTTTATTAATGAAGCTAAATATATCATTCTGCCGAAGATATTATAATCTTAAATCTTGGGCAGCAAGAATTTTTTGGTTCTCAGATAAAGTTCTTTGAAGCCGTTGCATTATAAGATCTTCGCCAGTTCGATACTCAACGACGTGCACTAATGAATTGTCTCCGTTCTTTTGGGCGGAAGAGTCGCTGTATCAACATAACATGTATGGCCGATCTACCGTGACAGATTTCCCTCGTTTTTCTCCCTTATAATGGGTTGTGGAAGTTACATATACATATTTTTTACGTGATAATGCTGATGCTAAGCAAGATTTGCAACACCCGTATGGTTGCAAACGCGTTGCCATCTTTAAATAATGTGGGCCCCGGCTACCTCACTCACCAGACGAAAAGCAGAAGAGCAACACTTCCACCTCACGTTGGTCTTCCTTGAGGTCGTGGCTCTTCCCCGGACGGACCTGCCCATTGGTGCAACAAGAATTCTTGCGTGGCTCTACCACACATAAGATTTTTTTTATGGAGAAAAGGAGCACCCGATGGTAAGCGATTACCGCCGCCCATGAGCACCTACATCGTCCGAGGGCTTACAAATTTCTGTCCGTTGCCGGCCTTTAAGGAATCTACATATTATATACATATGTAGGATGTTTCCTGTATCTGATGAACCCTTATAACGGCAAAGGTATGAATCCTCTGCTTAGCAATTACTTCTTAAGTCTAAAAAAGAACCGAAAAGATAGATATTATACTATAAGAAAAATATTATACTATAACCTCTTATATTAAATTGAACGTAAAGACAGTGGGTCTTTACGTTCAATTTAATATAAGAGGTTATAGTATAATATTTTTGATGATCCCGTGGCGCAGTTACTGAGGTATTGGCTTCGGCGTCGGGGTTGGTAGGTTCGATTCCCACATGGGACTGCTATTTGTGTGACCCACAGATAGTTGTTTCGCATCTGGGTGTTTGCCCAAGTGAAATTTATGTAAGTAAACGTCCTTACAACACAGGATAATGTTATCCTAAAGTAACGGCAACGTTAAAACGAAAAAAAAAAAAAAAAAAAAACGAAAATGCAGGTGTGTATATACCATATATATGTATACATGTGTGTATATATGTGTGTATATATGTATGTATATATTTTTCCCCACGACAAAAAAACAGTGTGTATATACCGGCGCGGCCGAGGGTGCTGTGGCCGGGGTCGCGGGTTCGGTGCGTGTGCGGCGCGTGCGGAAGGGTGCGCGCGTGCTCTCCGTCGTACGCCGCGTAGTTCGGCGGCGGGTAGTCCAGCGGCGGTGGCAGCAGCCCCGACTCGTCCGCGAGGTACGTGTCCGTCTGCGAGGGTAACAGCCAGTGAACGATACGGTTTTGACTACTGAAATCTATCTAGAGGGTCTACACTGCCCTAGAGGTCGAATTCAGCCACGTGTGACGGTTTCGAGGAGTGGCCAGTCTGTGGCTTCGACGCTGGGCGTCATGGGTCCGATTCCCAGCTCCCGATCTGGGTGTTCGTTTCCAAGGTGTGATGTAAGGCAAGTGGGTCGTAACGATCATAGCCAAAGCCAATTAGATCATGAATCACATGTTGTGCCAACTCAACGTAGGCGGTATGGGAAAAGATGATGATGAATTGCTTACAGATAGAATACAAAGATCTACGTGTGATGCTCTCAAGGTCACCTGATGAATCATTCTATTCGATGTTTCCCCAGATATGGTGAAATGAAATGATATGCCATCGACGCATTTCTCTGTGATGAATTTATCATGTAAAATTTTCAAAATACACGGAAAATTTAATTTAGAATCGAGTATGAAAATGTTCCCGATTAAATTTTTTTTTATTTTATTGGCCAAACAAGTTCTATAATTGGAATTGAATAAATATGGATGTGTAGTTTAAGGAAAGAGGAAAACTTTTAAATGACATGGGTGACCTATGAGTAATAAAATCTGTTTAGTTTCTAGTTAAGTATCTGAACTATTCATTAGTTCACTTCCGTTAGTCATACATTGTATTGATTTAGAACACACGTGAGTTGGTTCCCTTTTTACAATTATCGAATTATTGCGATAAATTATTTACAGATTCTTGATATCTTATGTTTAACGACAGTGTTCCCGTGGTTTGTATGACAGAAAACAACAGGCGCCTAAAATAATTGTACGAATATGACAGGTGTTATTTCAAAATTTCATTAAAATTCCATTTGAACATAGCGTTTTGAAGAGGCTAATAAACATATTTATTAAATAATGTATTAATAGAATTCGCAAGAATGGATTATCCAAGTTGCATGTTGGTTCTTATCAAACCAGCACACAAATTGGAAACTACGTTGTTTCAAATTTGAGGCGTCCGAAGTCAGATATCTATGAATTTCTACATTCATATCACATATATACAAGAGAATATATGCATTTTCACCCCCTTAAACTGGTACTCCTAATTAATATGTAACTTAGTACAAATAAAGAGCGAAATGACCCTCCCTGACGACCGTAGTTACGTTAGTGCCGAATAATGCGCTGGTGGCGGTGCTTTTTATCTTTTAAATCATACGTGAATTGGTATGAACTTTTGTATATATGCATATGGCAGCATTGGAACATAAGCCAATCCGTAGTGGAGCCGTGGTGGACTATACCATACCCTCTGCACAGAGGCCTTTGCTCATTAGTGAGATATATATAGGCTATTACTTTACTTCATTTTAAACAGTAAGTACCTGATTCAGCATGTGGCGATTAGGCATCGACGGCACTTCCGGTATAGGCGGCGGTGGACGGTCGTCGACTCCTTCGTCTTGCGAATACGTCTCGGACTTCTCCGAGACGGAGCTGAGAGTTTCGCCTGTCATCGTGTCGTTGTACGACGATGGTGCGTACATCTCGATTGTCGCTGATTTTGAAGATTGGCCCGCTTGCTCTGTATAAGTAGTGCTACGGTTAGCGTAGCTCCTATGGCACTACATCTACGGAACGTGCTACGATAGGAGTATTTCCACACTGATACCATTTGTGAACATTTTTCATCAGTACTCGCCTCTATAGTTCAAACTTAGAATTGAGTTGTGGTCATTCAGATAAAAAAGATAAATGATTTTTTTTATTATGATATCTTGAAGTAAAAAATTGGTAGAATATTTTATGATCATAAGTAATTCTTATTCTTTACTTTTCAATGTGCTCGATATATTTGTGTGATGATAGACCCAATATATCGTATGTGTGTAGGTAAGTGTTTTCATTTATATATTTTTTTATGGGGAACTATCTAGTACTAGCTTGATAATAGCGTTGCCAGCAGCCTTAGATGGTGGAAAAGGGTTGGAAGAAATACTCCAAGGTGCACTTATCCACTAAAGTTAGATCCTGAGAATTTTATTCCCTATCCTTGTAAAGGATATGTTTATGAAAGATAATGTGAATAAGGAGTATATACTTTTAATGTAATTTATTATTTTATAGATTTTTTACCCTACTAACATAGCAGATGGAATCGAATCCATGACTTACAGTGCTAATCGTTTAGCAACTGTAACAACTGAGTTGAAGATGAATATAAACAAGACATCAGCATATATCTGTCATTAATTTATAGTAATTCTAAAAATGCGTAAATAAATGAAATTTTATCTTATAAGCAGCAACAGGATCCAACTTGTATAATCTAACATTTATAATAATAATAACATAATGAGTTAAAAAAAAATCAAACGTTAGAAGGGCTATGCAAATAAAATCAAAGGAAGGTGGAGGAAAGAAACAAATCTCACCTTTCAGTCGTCTCGCGCGTCTTTTGAAAATAAAACAAGCGACTAAAGCGGCGTTAATCAGCACCAAGACGGCGCCGGTCACGCAAACGTAAAGCGTCACGGACTTCGATACGTCTGTCGACTCTACGTACTCTGTTGACACTACGTTTAACTCTCCTATTTCTGACGAAGCTATTTCCGGGAAAAAGGGAGAAAAAACGAAAAAAAAAAAATTAGGACAATGAACGAAAGGCACGACATCAAAGAGCACGCACAAACTCAACAAACTTAATTACATTGCAGCTACGTTCTTTTAATTAGCTAATTGTGTCCTTTAAAAAGAGGTTACAACGAGGCTCTTGGAAGTTTGCTTTAGCCTTTGTTGAGTTTGCACGTGTCGCGACATAAAACTAGTGGCTTACTTAGTGCAGTATCAAACCTCTTATCCTCTTATTCGACCTCCTATGCAGACAGAATCCGACCAGCAGTACATTCAGCAGAATGAGGGCGGTACCAACGATCGTGCCGGTGATTATGAGAACCCCCGGAACGTTGTACGAGTTATACTCCTCGGAGCTGGACTGTACCGATGATGGGATCACGTCTGATGCGTGGAAATAAGGTTGAAATTGAGACGGTTTTATCGATATCGCAGTAACGCAAGCTACACAGTGATTGCTACGAAGTCGTTATTTCACATTCTTAGCAGCGAGCTTTCTATTGAATGCGAGTGTAATTTCAAATATACGGTCGAATGGAACGTAAGGGAAAATAGAAAACATATTGCTTCTGCTTTTTGGTTCCAAAAAAGTTTACTTGTGTCGGGTATTTTTCGATTCATTTCGGTGAGCACAGAAAAATATATCACACAAAGCCCACAATTAAAAAAAGCGAGTATAAAAGTTTCGGTAAATATAGCACGAATCCTGTTTTCGATTCCCAGCGTAAGCAACACAGTCTGCAACTGGTTTAAGCTCTTAGGAGGAGCCCATATTGTATCACAAATTTTCACCACATTAAATAGCAGGCAAAATAATCTAATTGCATTTAGTCACAAACTCGTATCTATGTTGACTATTGATTGAAATATAAATTTCATCCAAATATTTTTTACTATCCCGCTCTTGCGTCATGCGATTATACCGTGGTAAAGGGCAAAAATACCTTTAGTCTTTATGGCTAAATTGCTACTAAAATCCTTTTCTATTAGCATTTCGGCTAATGGCCACACACCGCCCCCTTTGTGAAATTGCACATAGCGCACGCGCTTTGTCTGGCCCCTTTCATGCGGAATCTAGGCTAGAGACGGCATAGAAACGGCCGGGTCGCGCGAAACAAGCGGGCAGATGTCTGTTTTCAGTTTTCTTTTTCATTATACGGACAAACACCCCGCTGCTTAGTTACTTTGGGAGCGAAACTTTAAGCTCTTGAAATATACGATGGATAGCTTTGTCCAGCATTGATAGGCAAAGAGGTGTCGCATGTTTGTCACGACTGTTTATTTTAATGGGCTGATCGAACTTGCGAATATATAAAATATTATTATAAAATTTTATGAAGTAAGTAATCTCATTTCAGAATTTTACGCTGACGTTAATTTAATACAAAGAAAGCATGCATCGTATTAACATTTTCTATTAGCTAAATAGTATATAATTTGAGTATCTGAAAAAATTTCTACGCCGTAGCATAGTTTGAATGGGAGTAGAAATATTTACATTCTTGCATTTCTATAGATGAGTGGTAGCCGGGGCTTATTTTAAATAAAGTTATCTAAGCATCTGAAATCCCACGTATGTTGTCATGTTTGCTGGTATTCACTTAACATCTACTTCTTCTTCTTTACCATAGTAAATAAGAAGAAGTAGATGTTAACATATATATGTTATGTGCTAGAGAGTCGACAAGATGCAACTTACTAAGTGTCGTAGCTTTGGTGTCGTCCGGCCGGTATTTGCTCTGGCCTATCTTGTTTATAGCCATCACAGAGAACACGTAGTCAGTGCCCCTCTCCAGTCCGCCTACGGTGTAGGAAGTGGCGTTCCTCGGGGAAACGTCCTCGTATTTGTACGCTTCGTCGTAAATTTTCCTGAGTACGATGGAATCCGTGAGTTGCACGGTTATTTTTTTTTTGAAATTACTACTAGTATTGAATCAAACTATGGGGGAGGCCTATGTTCAGCAGTGGACTCAAACAGGCTGAAATGATGATGATGATTGAATCAAACACAAACGCCCGGTTTCTGAAACACTGATTATCGTAGATGTTAACTAACATAACATTTTGGCAACTTACATAACATTTGAAAAGCCATTTGACAGCTGATTAGTTTACATCTACGATGATTAGTGCTTCAGAAAGCGAGAGTTAGTATAATATACCCGTATGTCAGAGGCATACAATAGCAACTCCACATTTTTCAAAATAATTTTTCTCACACCATTAAAATCGCAAGAACAAGTTCTATACAAAATATAAAGCATTAAGTCCTACGACGCCTAATTAATAAAATATCCAATCGTATATGACATCATTAAAATGCAAAAATAATGCATTAAATGATTGACTCCACGCATTTTTGCGTAGCCTGTAAAATGCGTGTTTTGTCTCATAATACTGTTTACCTCTGAGTTAATGATATATTATTATTTTTTGCTCATTGCATATTATATATGCAATGACAAATAAAAAAAAAAAAAGCTTTTGTTTTATTTCAAATCTGTTGTTAGAATTTTTTAAAACGATGTAATATTTTACTGACCGATATCGAATCCTGAACCACGACGGCAGACCACCGTCGAAACCAGGAACCCATGTCAGAGTGGCAGAGTTGTGTGTGACATTAGTTACTGTTAGTGACGATACCAAATCTGCAAGAAATAAATAAATAAATATTTTAGGACACATTTTTACACAACGTTCTCTAGTCCCAAACTAAGCAGCGCTAGTACTATGAGTACTAGATAACTTATAAACATACTTTAACATACTTTTCTTTTGTAAATACACTAGAAAAATACTATGTTCATCACACAATATTTTTCCAGTGGTGGGAATCGAATCCACATCCTCTGGCGAAGGAGGTAGGTACACTACCCACTACACCATTTGGGTTGTTTCTTACGTATACATTATTATGTGTGGAACAAATATATAAGAATAAATGACAATTTCAGCGGTTCCCTAAAGAAAAAAAAATCAGAATTAAGAAAGCACAAATTCAGATTGCCGAACAGTTTCTGTGGTGAATTAAATATTTGAACTGCAACATAAATAATTAAAAAAAGGAATGATGTCGATCAAATGTGTAGATGTCATTTCCTTTATTATTTCGTTGATAAATTCCATTTTAGTTTTGGCATATAACCTAGAGTATTCAGAGTATTCGGAATCTAGAACGCTGACCACAATTACATTAGACGGACAAAGTTTAGTTATCCCTTAAATGAAACCCAAACTGGTCATGAAACGTGACTCGATTTTTTACAAGTTTTTAAGTTTATTAACAGTTATGTTGGCTTTTTACAAAAAAAAAAAAACTTTTGTGGCTGCGGAGGGAAAATATGTAAATTGGCCAGTGTAAGAATTTTGTTCTTGTAGTTAGCATTCGTAACTACCTTCTTAATGTAAAAAGTGAAGGTAGCGCGAAATACTTAAATTGTTCAAAGTGAATTTAGAATTCGCGGTTAATTGAAAGTCAACGCTGATGAACATTTACTACTTCTAAACTTAATAGGAAAATTTAAATGACGGATAAAATGTATCCGACGAAAATGCGAAAGGGGATTTTAGATAATTTTTGTAGATTTACAGTTGTTTTAGAGAGATCAACCTTTGGGGTAGATAATAGTGCTGTTATGTATTTTTAAATTAAAAAAAAAATTAAACTTTTAAATTGGCGACGTAGAGATTGAGACGTTATTGATATTTCAAATCACAGAAGCGATTTTTTTTTATTCAAAAATCAAAATCAAAAATATATTTATTCAAATAGACGCTTGCGCGCTCTTATGAATCGTCAAATTTTACAAAAAATATAAATTATGTATAGGTTCATAAGGTACCACAGTTTCTGTTGACAAGAGACCGGCAAGAAACTCAACAGTTACTCTTCAAAAGTATCAGTTTAAAATACAATGTACAGGTATTATAATACGAGTACATTAATTCGACAATCACTACGTCATATTCTTATAATAATAGCACGATAACACTCATCGATTTTCCAAATCCGCGAGATGAAGACGTCACCTATCATATATCCATCTTAATAAACAAGTTGAAATATAAAGTTTGGAGGTATTTAGAAGTATTGCATCATGGTTCGAAACCGTGTGAGCTTCAGCATTACAGTGGTTAAAATAATATAATGGTCAATTGTGACGAGATAAAATGTAAAATAAATTCTGATATGTATTAGTGGACGGTATAAGCTATCTCATACATTCCCAGACATCTCTATCTACTATCCCATCCATTCTCATCTCTGTCCACTCCCAGATGTTTCGTAGCAGAGAGTGGGCAGAGATTGCGACTGCCACTGAGCTTATCGCCTCACCAAGGATAGAGACGAATACGGAAAGCTGATTGCCCACCTTCATTAATTCAAGAGGCACCGAAAGAAGAAGAATCCAAGAAGGAGAAGAGAAGAATAAACAAAGTTGTCAACGTCATCTAATCGATCCGCTCTTACCTGGGGCGCTGGTGATATCCAATTTGACGGAGGTGGTGCTGAAGCCTAGGTCATTCCTAGCGCCACACTCGTAAGAGCCGTAATCTGATGTTGTGACGTCACTGATCAGTAGAACCGATGTGTAGGTAATAGGGTCTGACTTCCGGTATTCAGCGAAGTATTTAGTTGAAGCGTTCACGGGCAGTTTAGCTCCACCCTTCGACCAGGTGAAGTTGGGGGCGGGGGCCGCTTTGCATCTGAAATTAATGCCATTATTAAGATACGGTCGCATCCTCTGTTCTCTATTTTGTGTTCTCGAGCTCTCTTTTTTAGGGTTCCGCACCCAAAGGTTTACGACCCTATTACCTATTAATACGACTTCTTTGTCTGTCTGTCCGTCTGTCACCAGACTGTATCTCATGAACTATTATAGTTAGACAGTTGAAATTTTCACAGATTGTGTATTTCTGTTGACGCTGTCACAACAACTATTAAAAAACAGAATAAATAATAATATTTAAAGGTGTCTCCCATACAACAGACTTGATTTTTTTTAGCGTATTTTTAGATAATGGTAGGGAACCCTTCGTGGTGAGTCCAACTCCCAATTAGCCGGTTTTTTCTGTTGTTTTTTTTTGGACTTTCAAAAAACTTAGTTTCAGGTCGACGTTTGGGTATTCCTTTTCAATTTGATTTTATGGCAAACTGGTGGTTATACTTCTTCATACGGTATTCACCAGAATTTTTACACCGTCTAAATCTCGATAAATTGTAGTACTTTGACGAATGGAATGATAAGTCAAGATACTATGGTCCTTTTGTATGTACATTAAAACTAAAATATTTCGTCCCGTCAGGCAATTGACGCCGATAAGGGTACGGTCGAATAGTTAGCAAATTAGAATTGGATTCCGTAAGACGGAATTCCGCCAGTAACGTTATCTGCTCAATTTAAATTTCCCGAAGTCGACAGAAGTTTTCGGGAACTTTCGATAATATTCGTCGGGTGAAATTGCAGTGTGCTGCTAAAATTCCACCACAATGGGAGTCGGGCGCCTCAATAACGTTCTTTGTTAAACTGGTCACAGATTTTATTGACCGCAAATTTTCTGTTGATCGTGATATTAAATCTTTTGTTATTTCTTCTATTTTATTTTTTTTAATTTTTTAAACATTGGCGAAATAGCCAATAGCTTGGATTCCCACACAGGACAACTATTTTTGTGACCCACAAATAATTGTTTCGCATCTGGGTGTTTGTCCACGAGAAATTATATTTGTAAAACTCTCTTTCAATCTCTTACAACACAGGATAATGTTAGCCTAGGGGCAACATTTTTACCGAAAAAAAAAGTTTATCACTGTTTTTTGTTTCTTTTTAAATGAAATTCAATAAAAATTCAACGGTGGTAGGGCCACGCAGCAGCTTCGGCTGTTGCACGAATGGGCAGGCCCGTCCGGATAAGTACCACGACCTCACAGAGACCACCGTAAAGTGGAAGTATGACAAATACTTTCGCGTTTCGTCTGGTGAGTGAGGTAGCTGGAGCCCAAAAGGTTGGGCTCCAGCTACCTTTTAGCTTACTAGCTAGCAGCTACCTAGCTTTTCAAAAGGTTGTCAATGCATCTGTAACCCTCGGGTGTAGCAGGTGTCCATGGGCGGCGGTATTCACTTAACATCAGGTGACCGACGAGCAGACTCGTTTGGCAACATTTCGCATAAAAAAAAGATATTATTTTTAGTATTTCAGTCAGTGAAGTGAATTTAAGGGTTCATTTGAAAAATAGCAATTTGCTGTAACGGAGCCCTAATTTGATGTCATGATAGTTATTTTGTTTTTATTTTGATGTTTTTTATTAAGATTTACTTTTTATCTATTTTATTTATTTATACTTTATCGCAACTTTTAAATTAAAATGATTACGAAGGGCGAACTTAATGCCTTTTGGCATTCTCTCCCCGTCAACCCGGGGCGGGGTGAGAGATCGTGGTAGGTGCAATTATTACATTAGAATATTTATAAGTATTACTTTATAATTACTTAAAAATATACATCTACACACATCAATACATATAATCATACAAACGATAGTGGCACAAGGATAACATCAACGTTCTAGGTTATAAGGGGTCATTTGGAAATAAATCACGGACCAAACGTTTGAATGATGTCCTATTAAACTTTCTATAGGTTGTGTACAGCGTTTACCTGCACGTAAGCCGCCCCACTTGGCCGACGTTCGACGCGGACTTGATCAGTCCTGGCGACGAGTCCATTTCCGGTTTGAATTTCACCACCAGCATCGCTTCCTGCCGCGTCTCACCGCCGATCCCGTTGTCCACGATACATTGGAAGTTGCCAACGTCCTCGCGCGTAGCCCGCTCCACCGTCAAAAAGCTGGTGATGTTCCTCGCGTCGAAAGACACCGTTTTAGGGTCGATGCTGTAGCCTTTCTTTTCCCACCTTATGTGTTCCGCTGTCAACGGATTGCCTGAAAGTTAAGGCTCGATTAGCGGTGTGTTAAATGTTCACTTATTATATAGCAGTATGTTAATTATTTTAAGAATCAGTGTGTCACATCTTATCGATCTTTCCATCTCACTCACTCGTCTCCTGCACTTTATTAGAACATTTACTACGTAGTTTGCATCCTTAATGGAAGTCTATTCGTATAACATTGTATAAGTCTATTCGTATACGTATGAATAAAATCATAAATATTACTTGCGAGTTATTTTTATTGGATTCACCACTTTTATGTTCATAGTAATGCAAAACATTACAGAAATCATGGGTTTAGCTAATTCTAAATTAATAAATGTCCTGATGAAAACAGTGTAAAAAAACAATATTAAGTGGTTTACGTGCCTTGTCTATATCACCAATCATGAGTTTTCAAGAAGGTGATATAAGAAATGATATATATTTGAGTGAATACACACCAGCTGCTTGGCATGCCAACACGGCATCTTCATTTGGATTCGCTATTCCAATTTGTGACACGCTTCTTATTCCCGCGGGATCTAGAAGGAGAAAAGATATTAAAAATAATACGAACATCCCATAATTTTTCGAAATTGTTTTGGACAGAACACTAATAACGTTAGCTAAAAATGAACCGCTAAACCTAGCGCTAGGTTTTAGCGGTTCATTTTTAAATTATGCAGAACATGCTCTACACGACTTCAGCATGATTAGATTATCCCGTTACAAACTGTAAGTGACGGTATGCTAGCGTGTTATACGCTATCTCCAGTAGCTGCTAACGACCGAATAGCTGTTAACGTTACTCACAATGAACCGAAACGGTTATGTTGACTGTAGCCGCTCCTTGAGAGTTGACCGCCTCGCACGTGTAAATGCCGGCATCGTGTCTAGACAGCCGCGTCATATTCAGCATACTGCCCTCGGATATTATTCTGTCGTCTGGGAAGAGGGAATTGACTTAATATCCAACAAGTCCATTTTTTTTACTAACTAAAATGAAACTGACATGGGACCACATAGGAAGCACCTGCTGTCAAATAAAAAATGAATCGTCAAAATCGGTTTACTCAATCGAAAGTTAAAAAAAAAAAAAAATACTTCAAGAACCTCCTCCTTTTATGGAGTCGGTTGAAAGAGAAATCGATGATCATTGACGCCCCTGAAACACAATGGTAATTGATTTTAATTTACAGTCGTTTTTATCATTTTTTATTGGCAAATATTGTGGAAATTGTGCAAACGACAAATACATTTTAATAAACAAAACAAAAAGTGATGTCAGAACTGAGGGCAAAATATTGACACGATGAAACTGCATCAATGAAATTTTATTGGATCAGTCTATAGGGTTAAGACATTTCCATTGATCGCCCATGGTCTTCTTTAGGGTTCAATTATATCAGAGTCTGGAAAACTATTATAAAATTTTTATACTCTACTCTTGTCTTGTTATAATAACTAATAAAATTAATTTATATATATCAGAATGTGGGATAAACAAAAAATAATTAAAGGTTAAATCAAATTTGTTTAACTCTCGACCAGCATATGTAAATTAACCGTATTATTTTTCAATTTGACATGAATGACAATAATGGAACTAAATAAATATTTACAGATAATCCATTAAAGTCGAGATAAGATTCGCGGAGACTTCGCAAAATCATAAATGTTTGGAAAACGCTTAATAATTCGGCATTCTATTTGAACAGTCCCAAAGGAAATTATGTCGTTTACTAAATCTCATTCGCATCGGCGCGACGTTTAATATTCGCTCTAATCAAATCTACTATTTAGTTTCTGATTTAAATGGGATGTCATTATAATAACGTCTTTTCGATAAGATTAATATTGTCGTCTGCAGAGTCTATCCAATACAACTTTTGTATCAAAGAAAATCAACTATACATATACCACAGACTATAACTATACATCCATACTCCCATACTAATATTATAAATACGAAAGTAACTCTGTCCGTCTGTCTCGCTTTCACGCCTCTCTAGAAAGAAACTGAGAAAGAACATAGGCTACTTTTCAATCGGAAAAAGGGTTATAAATGGTTCTTAAAGGGGATAGATATTTATTTAAAAGCTAGTATTACATATACTAGAAAATTCAGCCAAACGATTTCCATTTTATAACTTTACAAATACCTACCATTTCTTAGAAATACGTAATCTACAGCTTTTAACTGGTACTTGGGTTAGAGAAAAGCTGTATAAGTTTTTCTCTTTTATGTTTTACTTTAAATTATCATCACACATTGGGATTTGTTAAGAAAATTTTATCACACGATTATAGTACATAATTATTTTTTATTTGTATATAGCCATTGCTTATGTATGGCTAGATATATAAAGTTTTGGATTTCGTTATATAAGTTATAACGTGTGTCAATATGACAGAATACACATCATTTGATTCCTTGAGTCTGATTACTGGTAATGAACACCTAGAGTTCTAGATGTTACCTATCTTGGTCTGAGTTAGTTCGGTGAAAGGAAAAATAGACGAGATTTTTTTATTTGAGTTGGTTACATACTTGAGCTGCTATACGAAGACTGCGTGATGGGCAGGCCGTCTTTGGTCCAGGTGTAGGTGATGCTGCTAGGGTTGCCATCAGCTCTGAGGACGATTACCAGCGGCTCGTTCTCCACACCAACTGTCGTGTACGGAGTCGTCTCGTCGAAAATAGGGGCATCTGGTGGTGATAGAGCTTTAGTTGAGCACTCAAGTTACAGCAAAGGTGAAAAGGCGAATGAACGTCGTATTGTGTGTTTATATTATACGAGTTACAACATCCTTGTATATGGACGTAGCATTTAATTAAATACGATTGGGAATTCACATTTGCTAGAATACCCAAAACATACAATAAAATGTTTGGAGAAAATGTGGAGTTTACAAAAGCGTCAATATTGGAATATTGACGCTTTTGTAAACTCTAGAACATTCTATATTGCTAATTATATTAACTGCTTTTAGGGTAATTAGTTTCCTCTTCACTTATTTGTGCATGTGAATGTTTGGATAATTATGTTAATGTATTTATTTCGTGATTTTAAATTTTATATTTACTGTGTTCATGTTTGTTGTAATTAAATATTAGCATATACAACTATCCATAAAATCTTTTAATATACACGTATATCCCAAATCCAAAAGTCACATACTCAATATTAGAATTAATTATTAGAATTTAATAAATAAATTACTGTAATTATTTAAAAATAAGTAAATAAAAATAAATTTAATATGAAATTGGTTTATTTTTGTATATAAATTTAACAATTTAACTGTGCCTACCACGGAATTTGTAAAAAATAGCATACAACGAAAGAAAAACATATTCAGGTTCACGATGTTACTTACAGAGAACTTTCAAAGTTAAGGCGTCGTGGACGCTCCTCTGTAAGGCTTCGTTCATCGCTTGACAGGTGTACACAGCTCCATTGAGGTCCTTGCTGATGTTCAACTTTAGCTCTATCGTTGAAACTGTGCCGCCGTGAAGACCCTTCTTCAGCTGCATTGGGAGACCTAAGGTACATTTTTAAATGATACATGAACATTATCTAATTTTCCATTAATTTTAAATGTATTTTCAATCTGAATGTAGGCAAAGATCACGTTGGTAGATATTCTTAAACAATATTCATTTCAACTTTCACTTATACGGCCTCGGTGGTAGGGCCACGCAGCAGCCTCGGCTGCTGTACGAAGGGTGCAAGTGCGCATATTTAAGTAAGCTTTTCTGTCTTTTAACCTCCTTCGTGAAAGAAATGGGTGATGCCAGATATTACGTTAATGAGTTCATATCATTCCATTTCCCATTCGTGCAGGCTCATCCGGGTAAGTACCACGACATCACAGAAGACTGACGTAAAGTGAAAGTAATACTTTCGCGTTTCATCTGGTGTGTGAGGTTGCCGGAGCCCAATTTTCTAAAGGTTGTCAACGCATCTAGAACCCTCGGGTGTAGCAGATGTCCATGGGTGTTGGTTTAGTTAACATCAGGTGAACCGTCTGCTCGATTGGCAACTTTTCACATAAAAAAAACTATATAGGGTTCAAAATAAAATTCTCTTAATGGGTATTAATATTCGTAGAGTTTGATTTCTGGAAGTGGTGAAAGCAGCTCTGCGGTACAATCCAGGTCCAGGCCAAGCTATTGGCTGCAGCACCAGTAGTCATGGGTTCGATTCTCACTCAGGATAACTATTTGTGTGACATACAGATGATTGTTCCGGATCTGGGTGTTTATTTGTTTATGGCCGGTCGAAGAAAACCAATACCACTAAAAACAGGATGAACATATTGTGCCGACGATGAATAGAACTAAATTGACCTCATGACCTTCAGAATCATTCAAAATTGAATGAATTTTAATCATCGAGGATGATTATTTAGGTTTCTTAGACACATTGGCTATCGTTTGAGTGAAAAAAAAAAAAAAAAAAAAAAAAAAAACGAGAATCTGATTGACTTACCTTGCACTGGTATACCATCTCGCCACCAAGATAACGTTGCGGGTGGATTGCTGGAAGCTGCGTCGCAGTACAAGGTCGCCTCAATTCCAGGTTTCAGTTCCGCTGGCTCGGCCCTCACTTTTACCGCTTCTGGTGCAACTGTGTATAAAATTGATACAGAAATACCTCTTCGACGATAGCTTAAAATGAAGACTGGAGGAAATATTGTAGCAGTCTTGTAGCTAATTACGTAGCGACTAGCTACGAGCATTTGTTAACAAGTTAGTTATCTGGAATACGTTTTAAATCTTCACACGATTTACGTCTGTAACTTTCAATGTCTGTTGTTACAGACTGATCAGTTATAATCGTAAATTGAGACGATTCGACACAATGTTGAGCCAACGATAACAATAATAACATACCATAACTCATGGTACAAGACTAGGATTGACTAAAGAACAATATATCTGAGGCAGGCAGACACTGGCTTATGCGGCTCCAAGACTTTTAGACTTTAATTGAATTCCCCTACAAAATTGCAAAGTTGGGGAACTGTACCCACGCTTCAGCCAACATGAATTTTGTAAGTTTCGCATTTAGCTCCCCGGGCTTTAGGTATTAAAATAGTTGCTTTGTTCCTATAGAGCGTAGTTTTTAGAAAATTAATAAGATAGTAAGTTTTTGTACAGTTTGTGAAGAATGTTTGAGCAATTCAATTTAAATTTCACTTTAAAACAGTATTTTAAACAATGTTATTCACTGTTAAGTTAAAATCTAAGAATGATATTAATTTCAGATTCATGATTACTTTTCTTTGCTAAGGCGAAATTATTTAGTTACTAGCTGTGCCTGTGACTTCGTCCGCGTGGAATTAAAAAAAATAATAGCAGTCTAAGTTATTCCTCATTAAATTAGCTATCTACAAGTGAAAGTTAAAATCAGTCCAGTCGTTTCATAGATTAGCTGGAAAAAACAGACAGTACGACGGACAAAAATTGTAAAAAAATGTTATTTTGGTATATGTTCTGTGTATGCCTCCATATGCATTTACTAAAAAACTTTTATTTTAATATTATAAACAGACACTCCAATTTTATTTATCTGTATAAAAAATATTAAAATGAAGCATCATAAATAATCTAAACTGAGCTGATGTAATAACGAATAATTTATGAATCAGTCAGTTGTAGTTGTATAGGATGTTACAAATTTTGTTTCTTTTTTACTTAATTAGTTTGTTTGAAAATTTTTTTTTAATTATGGATTTTTTAACGTTAATATTTTTTTATGATTATTGGCAAGTAGCGTTAGACGTGTGTTCATTTATTGTCGCGATTGTAACGACACGCTGTATATACATATATATATGCAGATGTAATCACGAAGTGTTATATCATATACAAACACGTTATAAATCAATGACTGTACTTTATATTACAAAAAATATTGCATTTTTAGAAAGATTTGAATGTTTCTGAGTTTGATAAATATTCAACGTTTTATATAACGACAACATTACAGTACCTGCAAACTGGCATTTATGCAATATCACAATGCCATTATGGTCTCACGTTTTGCAAGTGCCAATTCCGAGGTATATTACTAATGACATAGTTAAGGATAAAATATACTTTTATGATATTTTATCGCGACTCTATGGCCGTGAGTTTGGTGCCGAGTACACAAATTCTTTGAAGTTTGGATTTTATACATTTTACATCTGAAATGACTTTGCTGTAAAAGACAGAAACCGGGCATAGTTATCGGGCTATATTGTGGTGTCTTATGCATTTATGCATAAAACACCACAATATACTGGGTTCTTTCAAATTAATAGATCCCATTATTCATAAATATGTTCAAAATATAGTGGTAGATAATTTGAATTTGTTTATCACTTGTTTATCTATAAATACCTTTATTAATAATTTCAAATAATTTCACCTGAATACTGTTTAAATAAGATCTAAATGTTTTCTTAATTTTAATTTTAAGAATTTTAAACTCTACTGTTTTGAACTACCAGTTTCCACTACAGCAGCAGTAATGGAAATATTTCTTGTATATGAGATAATTTCATAAAAGACTTATAAATTGATCACTACCCCTGGTAGGGCCACGCAACAGTCTTCGCTGTTGCACGAGAGGGCAGGTCCATCCGGGGAAGTACCACGACCTCATAGAAGACCGGCGTGAAGTGGGAAGTGTTGTACTTCTGCGTTTCGTCTGGTGATTGAGGTAGCTGGGGCATTCTATTAAAAGTGGCATCGCATCTGCGGCTATACGTGTGTTGCAAATGTCAATGGGCGGCGGTTATCACTTAACATCAGGTGAATCGCCAGCTCGTTTTCCACTTTGTTACATAAAACAATTAAAAAATATCTTAAGAGTTTTATAGAGAATAATAGATGCATGATTTATAATTATTTTTATTGGAGAAAATTACAAATCTATTAAATCTGTCTGCCCTGGCTAATTCTCTCGATGACACGGCTCTGCCGATGGTGTCATCGAGAGAATTTCTTTGATAAAATGAAAGGCTCGTGACAATTATGTAATTAATCTCGTTAAAATAAGATCTGCTTTTAACGCGTGGTCATTCATGGTCATTTACGGTCACTGGGTCAGGTGAGCTGCCAGCTCGCTGCCCGCTTCTCACATAGAAAAAAATAAGCTTGTATAAGTTTACTTTCAGTTGGACTTACAGTGGACGTTTAACGTGACAGTTTCGAACAGGGGAATTTCCGTGGCGCTGTTGGTCGCTTCGCACCTGTACTGGGCCTGGTTGTCTGTGACATTCGTCAGTATCGATATCTCGGCCGAAACTGATTTGTCAGTCTGCTTCGACACGGAGTGTATCTGTCGAAAAAGTTAGTGATTTAAATTGTTTATGTAGCTGAAAGAAATACCTGAAGGTTTCGCTCAAGGCAGATTTATCTTTTTGTTGGGGCTGTCTAAAACTATAAACGTCAAATCCTTCGGATATTTTCTGTAGGAGGATGTTCCCTTGTAATTTTTGTCTTATGGACAAGAAATAAAAACCCAAATTGTCAAATCGTTAAAGTTTTATATGCATCAATTTATTAAGAAAATGGTCCGTAGAGGTAATTAATCATTACATCAATATCTATTTATTTAATATGTCGTTGTATATATATTTAATAATTAATAATACACTTTTTTACATACTAAACCGCCTTTGATAGATATTATGGAATAGTTAGTATGATAAATATTACAGTACTCGTACATACAAAAATTGTAAGCAGTAAAAATCATAAGTTATATAAATAAGCCTGATAGCTTAAACCACTTAAAAATAGAATAGTGAGTATAGCTTATACACTTCTCCTACCTTCTTATCGTTCTTAAACCAAGTCAGCGTGGCAAGGGGGTTCCCGCCAGTGGAAATGCAGGATAGCTTCTGCACCGTGCCGGCAGCCAGAGTCGTGCCCGGAATGTATCCAGTAATCATGGGTGCACTTGGTGGATCTAGAAGACGAAAGAAGAATCATTATAATGCCTTTACCTACAAGCCATAACAGAAATGAGTTATACAATAGAAAAGAGAATGCAAAAATTATACTCTCCATTTGATTAAAAAAGTAAAGTTAAGTAACAGCCTATACATGTCCCACTGCTGGGCAAAGGCCTCCTCTATACAGGGGTATCAGGGCATAGTCCACCACGCGGCCCCACTGCGGATTGGCGGACTTCACATATCTTCGAAATATATTTTTTTTTTGTTATTATTTCGAAAATATGCAGGTTTCCTCACGATGTTTTCTTCACCGCGGAGCACGTGATAAGTCAGCACTTAAAGTTAAAAACTTCATTGGTGCCGGCACCGGGGATCGAACTCAGGTTGCTCGAGTATATTGAATTAAAGGCGAGCGCCCGGACACTGAGCTATCACGGCTCTTACTGAGCTATCACGGCTCATTTGATTAGAGGAAGCTTTAACTGTAAATGTCTTAAACTGTCGTAGGGCCACGTAACAGTGTTCGCTGTTGCACGATTGGGCAGGTCCGTCCTGGTTCGTACCATGAGCTCATAGAAGACTGGCGTGAAGTAAAAGTGTTACACTTCTGCGTTTCGGGCGGTGAGTGAGGTAGCCGGGGCCCACTTTATTAAAAGGTGGCAATGGATCCGCAACCCTACGCCTACGTTGCAAATGTCAATGGGTGGCGGTTATCACTTTACATCAGGTGAATCGCCAGCTCGTTTTCCACTTTGTTACATAAAAAAAAATATGTTAAGAGTTTTATAGAGACTAATAGATGCATGATTTGTAATTATTTTTAATGAATAAAACTGCAAATCTATGAAATCAGTCTGCCTTGGCTAATTCTCTTGATGAGACGGCAGAGGAATTTCTTTGATAAAATGAAAGGCTCGTGACAACTATGTAATTAGTCTCGTTAAAAATAAGATCTACTTTTTACGTGTGGATCTTTATTGCATGACGGACTTTATCAATAATATTTTTGTATTATTGAATAAAATGCTTATTTCGTATCCAATTCACATAGCGACATTAAAGGAACGAGACGAAATGACCGAATACCGAAATCCGGTTGCCAGACAATAAGCACGTAAACGGCCCTAATTTGGGGCGAATTTATTCTTTCGGTTTTTTGTATCGCCTTACCCCAGGGCGAGGTAATTTCGCGCGGCAAAAAGATTATATAGAAAGCCGCCATTTTCTCCGCCGGATCGTGTTCTGTTGGCGCATAAATAATAAACAATTCTCTTTACCGCTCCGTAGTTTATCGCAACATGGAACTATTGCTCGGTTCCAGCTAAAAAATTAACTGCGGAGTTTCGCTCTTTTTTCCTTCGCTTTGAAAATGTTGCGCTCACTGTAAGATTTTCTAATGCTACGCGGCAGGTATTTTGCATGGAAAGTTTTGCACTATTTGCGCTCGTGAGAAAAATGCATAAAGGTGAACTAGAGGGAACATTGATCAGTTTTCCAATTTTGTAATTTTTTACGTGTTTATCCCATATTGATGGTCGGTTCATTGAGTGATATTTAATTGTTACAGATTAAAAAAAATGAAAATTACAAAGAAAGTGAATGAAATGGACACATAGCTTCGGCTGTTGCACGAATGGGCAGGCCCGTCCGGGTAAGTACTACGACCTCAAAAGACCGGCGTGAAGTGGCAATGTCATACTTCTGCGTTTCGTCTGGTGAGTGAGGTAGCCGCGGCGTACTTTATTTTAACGTGGCAACGCATCTGAAACCCTGCGGGTGTTGCACATGGTTGGCGGTTATCACTTAGCATCAGGTGAACCGCTAGCTCGCTCACATAAAAACACGATTTTATTTATGACTTAAAAGGGTTTCCCACGTTTCTTGATATTAATCCTATATCACATTAATTGCCAAGTAACACAGTTTCATGCTCATAATATCCAATTAGCGAAAGCCCCTTACAAGGATCGAGGCGGCCCATTATTTTAATTACCTCGCCGTGATGTGCAGACGTAATAAAATTATAGTGCTGTATGTCTATCCGGCCCTTTAATTAAGTAGCGGTTTGCCACCGTTTGTTAGTTTCGGTCACGGTAATGATACGCCTAACGAAATGTCATGCAAACAGTGATATTAATTGAAGCGTGTCAAATATAAAAAAGCTGCGGTCTGTAATGAAAAAAGAAATCACAAAAAGTTATATACTACTACTGATCTTGTAATTATTAATGGTCGCTTCCTTAAGAGCAAATACTTTAAAATTAGTGACGTTAATGGACATCTGTAACATTAGAGAAGTTGAAATATATCACTTGGACGATAAATGACCATTGAACGTAATTGGTAAAAACTATTTTCTTTTTGGACAGCAATTTCATTGTATAATTGAATACCATGCCAGATGTACAAACAAAAAAACAATTATTATTACCTGTAAGTCATACAAACTATTGCACGATATTGAATCAAACCCAGAACCTGAGACGCCTAAGCCTCTTTCTGTTAACTGTTCCGAACCCAATTTCATAATCGCCTGAACATATTAAAACATGAAAACAAACAAGCCCTTATCAGATCGTAGCACCGCGTAGCCGTAGCGCCACCGTAGCCGTATTCACGTCACGTACGCTTTAGAATCAGCAGTTGCGAGGTTATCGCAAACACCGCCCTAATTTAGAGCCACCCCCGTATCGGAACGGTTATTGTGTTTATTTTTATAACACCGTTAAGCCCAAACGTGGACCAGTAAGCGGACGCGCTACGTGGTGGCTCTATGTTCATTTAAATCCTGTCGGTGTGTAATGAATCTATCGTCCAACATTAAACATAAATCAACTACGCCACGGCTACTGTTTTAATAATAAATATAAAATAAAAATATCAGACACATTTTTACCCAAAAATCTCTAGTCCCAAACTAAGCAATGCTTGTACTATGGGTACTAGAAAACTGATAAACATACTTTTCTTTAATAAATAAATACATATTATACATATATAAACATCCAGATACTGGAAAAACACTATGTTCATAACACAATATTTTTCCAGGAGTGGGATCGAACCCACACCCTCCGGCGTAAGAGACAGGTTCACTACACTCCACAGCAATCGTGTCGTCATTTATTATTTTTAATAGAAGAAGCGAGTGGAAAGTTGTGTTGATTTGCTGTTGAGCAGAAACAATTTTATTTTAATTGCCGTAACCAGACCTTATTCCGCAAAATATGTTTGAGGACAGAACAGTGAAGAGTAATAGAAGATATGAATCTCTATTGTTTTAAAATTGATGACCATTGGCTTTTACTGGAGAGTAGTCTAAGATAATTTCAAATCTATCGCAAAGCATTAATCAAAATGGCGTCTTGATACCATGGTGTCGATTTCGTTTCCCAATAGACTAATGGATTATTAATGTATCCATTCACATAAGGCGGTTACATTCAAGCTGCTGTTCAATAATTATATACACTTTTCTATTCGATGATGAAAGTGTAGCAAATTGTAAAGTTAAAGTAAAGTAAAGAATAAGCCTATACATGTCCCACTGCTGGGCAAATGCCTCCTCTGTTAGTATATAGATCAGGTAAATATATATGTGTGTGTGTGTGTGAATAGGTTGATTTAATACACCAAATTTTATGAACACCTACATACATCTTAAAAAATAATAACATATAACAAAGATTTTATTAAAGTCTGGCTATACGTAGTCTGTGACCGTCTTACGAATAGCTAATGAAAGAGTTTTTAAATTGGGAGTTGATCGAATATTTGTAATAAATCAGCCGCACCGAAATGGTATACAAGGTTTAAAACTGTTCAACTTGATATGCACGTAAAATACGTGCATAAAATACTGTAAAGTCAATGCATTTAGATGCACAGCTATACGGACGTAATCTTGTATTTAATAACGCTCCGTAACAAAAAGCATGATGACAGCATTCCGATGACGATCACGCTTTTTGTCCTAACGACCGGCAAGCCCGAGGCAATTCCTGCTTGCATATAATTCCATTCCAAATACATTCAACGTACAGACATCTCAATATTTGCTAGTTGTATGCTTCGTGATGCTGAATATAATAATGGTACTAATAATTAAATTAACATAATTAGAATGGAACACTTATTACCTCTTAGATCGGAGGAAGAAGCTTTAAATTTGGTTGTGGTGTTCCGAGTATTTTTAATGTAGACGACTCTTAATTTTTTTTTTATAATTTACGTTTGTTTTAAATCTCCGCGTATCTCATTAGAGAACTAAGTAGCATGTAGCTGAAACGCTGATTTCTGTCGCAAAATGTTGATGAACACGGTGACAAAAAGAGATACTAGAAAACGGTGTAACAGAAAATTTTAGTTTTTGCCATTTGCCTTACTTAGATCGGTATCTTATGGTAATCATTTTGAAATCAAGGTTACACCAAATTTCTAGAATTTTCCTGTTAGAATGTATTATGTGGAACATGTACACTTTAAATAGTTTACCTTGCAATGTGCAATTCTCAGTAGTAGACAAAAACTTAATCGATGAACTTATTTTCAACGGAAGCTACTACTATAGGCAACATATGAAAATAATAGTGAAGATTTTTGAATCAATTGAGAAATCAAGTAAGTTAATATGAGTTAAGTGATTTAGCAAAAAAATGATAATATTTGTTAAATCACATGACATAAACATATGATTGTATTTTACATTACTTAAGGAAAATGTAAGTGCTTGCACCACAATCTTTAAATTTCAGGCTGTATATGCAAAAGATATTATAAAAATGTTTAAGACCATTGAACTTAAGAAAACGGCAGATCTATGGGGAATGTCCGTTGAAGTGACTGCCTCAATAATAGATTCAATCGCACCTTATTTGTCAATAATTTTTAACAGTAGTGTAGATTCTGGCGTATTTCCTGATCTCATGAAACACAGTAAAGTCATACCTGTATTTAAATCCGGTAGTACTTCGGACCACACTAATTTTAGACCCATTTCTATACTACCAAC